AATGGTAACATTTTGAAATCAGAGCATGTTATCAAAAAATTTTTAGAACAAAAATTGTAGCAAATTTTGTTATTAACAATATTGCTCTCTTATATTTTTGCTCTCAGATTCGACAATATTGAGAAAAATACTAAAATTTAAAAAATTGATGAATTTTCTTGTTTTACTATTAGCTAATGGTAACATTTTGAAATCGGAGCATGTTATCAACAAATTTTTAGAACAAAAATTGTAGCAAATTTTGTTATTAACAATATTGGTCTCTTGTATTTTTGCTCTCAGATTCGTCAATATTGAGAAAAATTCTAAAATTTAAAAAATTGATGAATTTTCTTGTTTTACTATTAGCTAATGGTAACATTTTGAAATCGGAGCATGTTATCAAAAAATTTTTAGAACAAAAATTGTAGCAAATTTTGTTATTAACAATATTGCTCTCTTGTATTTTTGCTCTCAGGTTCGTCAATATTGAGAAAAATACTATAATTTAAAAAATTGATGAATTTTTTTGTTTTACTATTAGCTAATGGTAACATTTTGAAATCGGAGCATGTTATCAAAAAAATTTATCCAATTTTCAATTATCTTCTCAATATTTATGCATCTGAGAATAAAAGTGTAAAAGAGCAATATTACTAAGAATAGAGTTTTCTACAATTTTACCGACAAAAAGATATAAAAACACCTAAAAATAAGAATTCCTTTTTCTTGCAAAACAACACCGTATAAACCTCACGTGCCAATTCTGTAACAACTCCAACAACAACGTTCCCCTCCTCGAAAGTGTCAAATGGCCCCAGCAAACTATCAACAGCAAACATGGCACGTGAACCGCGTTTAAAAAAAAAATAAAAACATTAACGAGCACATGGCCTCGCATAAAGAGGAAGTTACTCCAGAAGGAAGAACCGGATGCGGTGTTTACCACCTAGATCTACCTAAATAGCGGGAGAAACATGTCGCGTGGCATCTGGACCAATAATTACCATCTCCGGGATGATATAATTGAAAGATTGACGTTTAAATCAAAAAAATCACCCTGTATATAGAATTTATTTTTGGAAAATTGTTAAGGTGGGAGACATAATGAAGTCAAACTGATGAGGCGACACATCGAACTTTGCTTAATTAAGGAAGTTGTAAAGTCCACCTTTTCCTGTAAGATAAAAATAAAGAAAATCGAAAAAATTTCTTCTCGGCGTATTATTAATTTAACTTTGTTTTTATTCTTACGCCTTACTCGTATAATGTTGGCTCTAATCACCGGATGATGTTACTTTAGTAGCTTTAAAATAGAGACTTCACGTTTCAAGTGGTAATGAAAATTCTTGTCTCGTACAAACGAGTCAACGTAACTCTTTATTGTAATATTTCAATTAAAAAAAAATCTTTTTGTAGTTTGTTGTTAATACTCTCACTTTTCGCCCTCAATCTCCTCGAAAATCTAAACACATCCCGTTCGATTATTATTTCTTGGTTGTTTTGACGATTTTCCTCTTCTGATACTCGTTGAGTGAACTCTAACCGGGTCAACTTTAAAACGTGCCATAATCGTATCAACAACGATTTCGATTAAACTCTGTTTTTTGAAATTACATCATTTGAATTCCTAGTTTGAGGGTACACCTGTGCTTGGGCAATTTATTCCGAGACCCTCGACAGCACGTGCGCGGACCCGCTTTGGGAGAAACAGTAAATCTTTGCCTCGCCAAGTTTAGCTACAACGAAGAAGTAGACGAGTGTTGGAGGGCTGTTGGATGTAATTGCGTTTTGAATTAGATCCGTTGAAGGTTTTATGCTGGACGTTTTTGGTTCATTTTTTTCTTTTTCAATTGGGATTATTAACAGTTTTCACAAAAGACTTATTGAAATGGAAGAGGGATGATGTTACAAAGAAAAGATATTGAAATAGGGGCGTTAAAAAGTTATGAATACATCGAGTAATAAAGTTAATAAAAGATATTAAATGTAATAATCAGGGCACGGAACTTTTGTAACAAAACGATTTTCCCCCTCCACTCGTTCTCAGCGGCGTTCGTTGAGAAAATCTTGATTAATTTTATTTAAAACATTTTTTGATAAAAACAATAATTATCGAGATAATTAATTTAGATAGCATACTATTCAGAGGGAAATTAAAATTTCAAGTTAGCAAAAAATTTTATTAACAAACACTGTTCCTGAAGTAATTCTAAACAAATATTGTTAACAACATTTTTTGATTAAATCAACAATAAGGATATAACCTCAAAAATATTAATTTTTGTACCATACTGTTCAGTGGGAATTTAAATTTCAAGTTAGAAAAAAATTGTGTTAACAAAAATTGTTTCTGAAACAATTCTAAACAAACTTTGTCAACAAGTTTTTTGATTTAATCAATAATTAAGGAGATAACCCCAAAATAATAATTTTTCTGTTTTTATACATAATCACACTTAAATGCTTAATTAATAGAGATGTAAATTTTTTTTATTAAGGTAATTGATTCAAAATCGAAATTGAATCAAATTTTATTTAAAACATTTTTTGATAAAAACAATAATTATCGAGATAATTAATTTTGATGGCATACTATTCAGAGGGAAATTAAAGTTTCAAGTTAGCAAAAAATTGTATTAACAAACACTGTTCCTGAGGTAATTCTAAACAAATTTTGTTAACAACATTTTTTGATTAAATCAACAATAAGGATATAACCTCAAAAATGTTAATTTTTGTAGCATACTATTCAGTGGGAAATTAAAATTTTAAGTTAGCAAAAAATTGTGTTAACAAAAATTGTTTCTGAAACAATTCTAAACAAACTTTGTCAACATTTTTTTTCGATTTAATCAATAATTAAGGAGATAACCCCAAAATAATAATTTTTCCGTTTTTATACATAATCACACTTAGATGCTTAATTAATAGAGATGTAAAATTTTTTTATTAAGGTAATTGATTCAAAATCGAAATTGAAACAAATTTTATTTAAAACATTTTTTGATAAAAACAATAATTATTGAGATAATTAATTTTGATAGCATACTATTCAGAGGGAAATTAAAATTTCAAGTTAGCAAAAAATTGTATTAACAAACACTGTTCCTGAAGTAATTCTAAACAAATTTTGTTAACAACATTTTTTGATTAAATCAACAATAAGGATATAACCTCAAAAATATTAATTTTTGTAGCATACTGTTCAGTGGGAAATTAAAATTTCAAGTTAGAAAAAAATTGTGTTAACAAAAATTGTTCCTGAAACAATTCTAAACAAACTTTGTCAACAATTTTTTTTGATTTAATCAATAATTAAGGAGATAACCTCAAAATAATAATTTTTCCGTTTTTATACATAATTATACTTAGATGCTTAATTAATAGAGATGTAAAAATTTTTTATTAAGATAATTGATTCAAAATCGAAATTGAAACAAATTTTATTTAAAACATTTTTTAATAAAAACAATAATTGTTGAGATAATTAATTTTGATAGCATACTATTCAGAGGGAAATTAAAATTTCAAGTTAGCAAAAAATTGTATTAACAAACACTGTTCCTGAAGTAATTCTAAACAAATTTTGTTAACAACATTTTTTGATTAAATCAACAATAAGGATATAACCTCAAAAATATTAATTTTTGTAGCATACTGTTCAGTGGGAAATTAAAATTTCAAGTTAGAAAAAAATTGTGTTAACAAAAATTGTTCCTGAAACAATTCTAAACAAACTTTGTCAACAATTTTTTTTTGATTTAATCAATAATTAAGGAGATAACCCCAAAATAATAATTTTTCCGTTTTTGTACATAATCACACTTAGATGCTTAATTAATAGAGATGTAAATTTTTTTTATTAAGGTAATTGATTCAAAATCGAATTTGAAACAAATTTTATTTAAAACATTTTTTGATAAAAATAATAATTATCGAGATAATTAATTTAGATAGCATACTATTCAGAGGGAAATTAAAATTTCATGTTAGCAAAAAATTGTCAATCAAGATTTTCTGAGAACGAGTGGAGGGGGGAAATCGTATCGTTTTGTTACAAAAGTTCCGTGCCCTGGTAATAATACATGGGAACATATAAAATCCTATTTTTTTACTCGTAGTATCCAGAAATCAGATTCAATTTTCAAAACTACACTACTCCTAAGAATTTATTTTCTAATTAAGTCGAGGTCGACTTGCACATTTGATATTGTATTCTGGTTCTTCATGGCTTCTCGTATTTTTTTCCATGTGATGTATCAGATTAACCCTAGCATTACTAATATGGCGGTTATTAATGTTATTGTGTATTATTAACGTAGGAATATCTATTGATATTATTAAACCGCAAAGTTCAAGCTTTAATTTGATATATAACTCATCCATTAATTCCATAAAATAGACTCAAAATGATTTTTTGAATTTGTACCATTATTTATCAAAATTTATAATACACATTTTTTTCTAGATAAACTTCCTACAATTATTTTTTTGTTATCATTGACGTATTTTGTGGTTTTATGGTCCTCGTCTTAACTTATTCCTTAAACCTTATTTATGGATGCTGTAATATTATTCAAGATGCAGAACCGTTTTTATCTGGTAGAGGGGTCATCTTAATCTCGAGATGAAAAACAGACACGATTTTGAGCACATGTTAAAGCGACACACCTCAAATTTATTTTTCAATATACCACACGTATTTAGTAAGTTCAAGGTAAACAGGGAAAATAAAAATATTTGTAATCCGATTAGATTAACAATTGCAGTAGGTTTCAAAAATATTATTTGAATAACTAATAAAATTTAAAAATAACCAAACTGAATAATACATTTCTGTAAACGGTTTTGGTTATCATATATCTTGGTTTGGGTCAGGCTAACTTCCTTTCCGAACAATGTAGTGTCTATTTGTATTCAGTCGGGGACAGTGAGTTGGTTTGAACGGTCGTGGACACTAAAATGTTCTTTTAAATCGTTTCGTTGTGTTTAAAATTGTTGTGTTTCTTAATTTTTAGTCCCTAACAAGAAACTAAGCGACATGGAGGACATCCTAATAGTTTCTGTTAGAGACAGCGAAGCCGCAACGATGTGGGCGAACTATTTCGGGTCTTGTTTCCAACAATTTGGAAACATTTATCAAGCCACAAAGAAAGCTTTCAAGTAAGTTTTAATCCTGACTTAATCTAAATCAAATAAACAATTTCTTTTAATTATTAGAATCCACCATTTGAGCGTTGAAGAGATTATCGAAGCAAACGGAGATATTAGATTTATTTCCGAGAAAACAGCAGGTGTTAAACTTCAACTCCTCGTGATTTGCCCGCTTTTCTTAGATAAAATCGCCAAGAATTTATCGAAAACCAGCCCCCTTTCGAAGCTTTTAATCCCAAATCGAGTTCTTGCTTTGCTTTTGGGAGTTACGGATAATGATATTACGGAAACTCACAAAAATGTTTTAACAACATTTTCGCAATGGCAAAGATACGCCGTTGGTGAGGACGAAGACGAAACATTCACCAAAGAATTCCTTTCGGCTGCGGTAACGATTTTTATGAAAATTTTAAAACAACAAATCTCAGTTTCGAATCAAGAAAAATCACATTTTTCGGTTTTACCAAAAAAAGTGCGACAGGTGAGTTATTAAAAAAAATTTTTATACAACAAATACTTCGTATTAAGATAAACAGGAAATATGAATCAACCGGATTACAATAATAAATTAAAAATCCCCACTTGATATCTAATGACGACAATGAAAAATCATAACGAAAAATTAAAATAATTTTTTTTAGGGTCAAAATAGTGTGTTAATAATACTAACGCATCCATTACAAAAGGAAGATATCGTGAAAATTTCGATCGAACGAAACAACGAGATGATCGAGTTGAAATCGATGAAGATTCGGAACCCGTACACGATTAAAATAGCGATTCCGGAGTCGATGACGGAAGTTTCAGCGATAGTAAACGTCCTCGTCGAGAAAAATGGGAATATCATCGGGACGAGACCGTTGAAATGCGAGAGTAAATTGAGGGAATTGGAGCAAATACTAAGAACGACGGCGAATCCGATTGAATTTATGTGTCAGGTGAGTAGCTACGAAAATGAATTAAACATTTAACAATTTTCTCGAAATTTCAGTAATATAATCTTATAGTTTTTATATCATATCATAAACTAGAACCTTTTAGCTTCAATTTAACATACATATCATAATATAATTTTTAAAAATATAGTTGATATGATTTTTTGAAATTTCATATTATTTTTGATTTATAAATTTGACAGTATCTTTTTAACAATTTTTTCCTGGAAATTTCAATGATATTACTTTATAATTTTTATATCATATCATAAACTAGAGTCTTTTAGTTTTAATTTAACATACATATCAACATAATTCTTAAAAATACAGTTGAGATGATTTTTCGAAATTTCATATTTTTGATTTATAAATTTGACAGTATCTTCTTTAACAATTCTTTCCTGGAAATTTCAATGATATTACCTTATAATTTTTATATCATATCATAAACTAGAGTCTTTTAGCTACAATTTAACATACATATCATAACATAATTCTTAAAAATACAGTTGATAAGATTTTTCGAAATTTCATATTATTTTTGATTTATAAATTTGACAGTATCTTCTTTAACAATTTTTTCCTCGAAATTTCAATGATATTACCTTATAATTTTTATATCATATCATAAACTACAATCTTTTAGCATCAATTTAACATACATATCATAACATAATTCTTAAAAATACAGTTGATATGATTTTTTGAAATTTCATATTATTTTTGATTTATAAATTTGACAGTATCTTCTTTAACAATTTTTTCCTGGAAATTTCAATGATATTACATTATAATTTTTATATCGTATCATAAACTAGAGTCTTTTAGCTTCAATGTAATATACATATCATAACATAATTCTTAAAAATAAAGTTGATATGATTTTTTGAAATTTCATATTATTTTTGATTTATAAATTTGACTGTATGTTTCTTAACAATTTTTTCCTAGAAATTTGAATAACATTACCTTATAATTTTTATATCATGTCATAAACTAGAATCTTTTAACTTCAATTTAACATACATATCATAACATAATTCTTAAAAATACAGTTGATATGATTTTTTGAAAATTCATATTATTTTTGATTTATAAATTTGACTGTATGTCCCTTAACAATTTTTTCCTAGAAATTTCAATGATATTACCTTATAATTTTTATATCATATCATAAACTAGAATCTTTTAGCTTCAATTTAACATATATATCATAACATAATTCTTAAAAATACAATTGATATGATTTTTTGAAATTTCATATTATTTTTGATTTATAAATTTGACTGTATGTCCCTTAACAATTTTTTCCTAGAAATTTCAATGATATTACCTTATAATTTTTATATCATATCATAAACTAGAATCTTTTAGCTTCAATTTAACATATATATCATAACATAATTCTTAAAAATACAATTGATATGATTTTTTGAAATATCATATTATTTTTGATTTATAAATTTGACAGTATCTTCTTTAACAATTTCTTCCTGGAAAATTCAATGATATTACCTTATAATTTTTATATCATATGATTAATTAGAGTCTTTTAGCTTCAATTTAACATACATATCATAACATAATTCTTAAAAATACAGTTGATATGATTTTTCGAAATTTCATATTATTTTTGATTTATAAATTTGACAGTATCATCTTTAACAATTTTTCCCTGGAAATTTCAATGATATTACCTTATAATTTTTATATCATATCATAAACTAGAGTCTTTTAGCTTCAATTTAACATACATATCATAACATAATTCTTAAAAATACAATTGATATGATTTTTTGAAATTTCATATTATTTTTGATTTATAAATTTGACAGTATCTTCTTTAACAATTTTTTCCTGGAAATTTCAATGATATTACCTTATAATTTTTATATCATATCATAAACTAGAGTCTTTTAGCTTCAATTTAACATACATATCATAACATAATTCTTAAAAATACAATTGATATGATTTTTTGAAATTTCATATTATTTTTGATTTATAAATTTGACAGTATCTTTTTTAACAATTTTTTCCTGGAAATTTCAATGATACTACCTTATAATTTTTATGTCATATCATAAACTAGAGTCTTTTTGCTTCAATTTAACATACATATCATAACATAATTCTTAAAAATACAGCTGATATGATTTTTTGAAATTTCATATTATTTTTGATTTATAAATTTGACAGTATCTTCTTTAACAATTCTTTCCCGGAAATTTCAATGATATTACCTTATAATTTTGATATCATATGATAAACTAGAGTCTTTTAGCTTCAATTTAACATACATATCATAACATAATTCTTAAAAATACAATTGATATGATTTTTTGAAATTTCACATTATTTTTGATTTATAAATTTGACAGTATCTTCTTTAACAATTTTTTCCTGGAAATTTTAATAATATTACCTTATAATTTTTATATCCTATCATAAACTAGAATCTTTTAGCTTCAATTTAACATACATAACATAATTCTTAAAAGTACAGTTGATATGATTTTTTTGAAATTTCGTATTATTTTTGATTTATAAATTAGACAGTATCTTCTTTAACAATTTTTTCCTGGAAATTTCAATGATATTATTTTATAATTTTTATATCATACCATAAACTAGAATCTTTTAGCTTCAATTTAACATACATATCATAACATAATTCTTAAAAATACAATTGATATGATTTTTTGAAATTTCATATTATTTTTGATTTATAAATTTAACAGTATCTTCTTTAACAATTCTTTCCTAGAAATTTCAATAATATTATCTTATAATTTTTATATCATATCATAAACTAGAATCTTTTAGCTTCAATTTAACATATATATCATAACATAATTCTTAAAAATACAACCGATATGATTTTTTAAGAATTTCATTTCTTTTTAGACACTAGGATTCACAGCCCACGATAAAGCTCAACTCGATAACTTTATGGTGCACACGTTCCAAAAGAATTTGCCCTCAAATTTCAACCTTTTAACTCACACGGCTCCGATGGATCGATTAAAATCAATAGCTTGCGAAGAATTTCCCACCTTATTACATTTCGCTGCAAAATATGGCTTAGAAAAGTTTGCCATCCAATTGGTTGAATGTCCCGGTGGAGACACAGCGTGCGAATTAAAGAATGTAAACGATCGTAATCCGTCTGATATCGCGGAATGCGAAGGATTTTCGGAGTTGGCACAAATGCTACGGGGTTATATGAAAATGAACGAGTTTACTAAAATTTATACGAAGTTGAAACAAATTCAATTGAACCCTGAGTGTATTGAAGATAACGATGATGAATATTTGGTGCCGAGGGAAATTTCGGCGGATTTTTACAAAGTTTGCCCCGCTCCTAAACCCGTTCTAACACCAACAACCCCAAACAGCGAAGTTAGTTACCTCCCGATGACGACGAAACAAAATTTATCAACGGAAACACCAACGAAAGACAAAACAAATAGTTTACCGAGAATAACATCAGCTTCATCGACATCCAACATTAGCACGACGTCGCAAAAGAGCGCCGCGATTTCTTTCACGGGTGAAGACAAAGTCCAAACGGAACTTTTCGAAATATTAAGGGACGTCACCCTTAACATTCACACTTACGAACAAGCGGAGAAGTTGGTTGAAGAGTGGAAAAATAGGAACGATGTGCAGAAAAGTTTTAAAGAAAAAGCGGAACAATTAAACGATATGAGGCGGTGGTACGATAAACTCCAACACGACATGAAACAAGGCAACAAAGTGAGCACTTTCGATCGGGTAAAAAACTTATTTTTGCGAAAAAAGAAAGACCCAAACTCGAAAAGCGTTGAGAAAGAAATTTTTTCGGTCCTACCAAACACCAATAGACCAATTAGCAGCTTAAGCTTACAAAGCACTTCCAGTAGTGGATCTTCAGGAAGAATGAGTACGATTAGTGCTTGTAGTTTAGGAGATAGCGGGACGCATTCAGATCATGAAGATAGAAAGGTAAATACAAATTTTTTGATTTTGTTCATTTTTAATTTAATTTTTGTTTAGAATTTATTAACGTCGAGTTTAGATGAAGAGTTTCGACCGTTAGATATAATTAAAGAAATGAAAGAAGTTAATTATATGATCCCGCCTTCACCGAAACCAGTTATACAAACTAAATTAAACCTTCAACTTCAAAATACGATCGATGTAAGACCCCCTCAACCCATTCCCAGGGGTTCGTTGGAGCATTATATTCAATATCCACCTTCGGGGTTACCAGTTCAAGCATGTAAGTCATTAATATGAATTAATTTCTAAATCGAGAGTCGCAACATAACTCCCGCCTTGAAAGAGTTATCTTTCAAAAGATAAAAAAATAACACATAAAGAAAAGTTTACACTTCTACAGAGTTCCACCTGAAGTATGGATCTTCACCACACGAACCTTTTCGTCTGGACCAGGATGGAGTTCTTTATTGAACTCCAAGCATTGGGGGAGGTTGTCATGTTTAAGCAGAACCATACTTCCAACTTTGACAAGATCTTCTCGGTCGAATCTCCACTTCGTCCTTTGTTGTAGAGTATGCAAATACTCCACCTTTTCCAAAATGATTGATGTAATTTTTGGAGTTTTTTGTAATTTGTTAATCGGTTAGCAAGAATTTCTGAAACATCTGCTTCAGAAACTGCCAATAAGGCCGTGCCCATCAAAAAATGTCCTGCAGTCAATCATTCTAAATTTTGAGGGTCAAATTTTTAACCGCAGCTTCCCAAATCCCACCAAAGTGAGGACTTCCTGCGGGAATAAAGTGCCAAATGACCCCTTTGTCACGAAAATATTAGGATCATATCAGGATCCTTAGCTAGATCTCCTAAATTAGCATACATTAAATTCTTAGCCCCTTTAAAATTAGTAGCATTATCGGAATATAAGCATCGACACAAATCTTTTAAATGCATTAAGAAATGTGTCAGATGTCAAATCAGTCACCTCTAAATGTAATGCCCTCGTAACCAAACAAACAAATAAACAAACATAGGACTTAATAAACCTTCGGTTTTTTAATTTACCATCCTTGATTAATATAGGCCCTGCCTAATCTACACCTACATTCGTAAATGGTCGAACTGTTGTTCGTTCTTTGGGCAACATACCCATCTTTGGAAAAATGAATCTAGGTTTTACTCGAAAACAAACTGTGCATGAACGTAATATCTTTTTAACTTGTGTTTAGAGGGTAAAATTATTTGATGTTTACGTGAAAATGTTAAATCAGTGTTTGCCAATCTACCACCTAGTCTCAATAGACCATCTTCGTCTAAGAATGGATCTAAAGATTTCAATTTACTGGTTTGTTTAATTCCCTTGGATTTTAAATTGGATACATTCTCGCTAAATTCTTGTTCTTGAGCTAATTTGATCAATACCCTTTCACTCTTCTCCAATTCCTCAATAGTCAAAACTTCTCGGCCCTTTGTGTCTTTATTTTCGGAACAATTTGATTTAAAACCTTCTGCAACTTCGACCAACTAGAATATCTATCAAAAATTGGCGCGGCATCTGTGTTTAGGGTCATCATTAAATTTGTAGTCTTCAATTCCGGGATTTCCTCTGTCAATTCATTCTTCATGGCTGGCCAAGATTCCACCGGCATCTCCAACCAATGTGGTCCATGCCACCATGAACTGTTTTCTTTGATACCTTTTGAATCGGTTCCTCCAGAAATCAGGTCTGCTGGGTTATCCCTTAAGGATATATGCAACCATTGTATCTCGCTAACCCGATTCGCTACAAAGGTTTTTAAAGTGTTGGGCGTACTGCAAATCCAGGCTAAAACAACGTTTGAGTCCAAAAATACCAGGTCCTATCTATGGGTACATCCAAAGAAGAAGCTAATTCCAAACGCGGAATTGTTATTACCTTTACTGGAGCCACTTTAGATTTTGCCATTAACAATCTACTGGATATGTTTCCCTGTTCATTAAGCGTTCTAATGTACACACAAGCTCCATAGGCGGATTGAGATGCGTCACAAAATCCGCAAATTTGATACAGCTCTGAATTGATTAGAGCAACATATCTAAAAATAGTGATACTCTCTCATTTAAGTCATTTAAAAAATCCCGCGCTTGTAAATATAAATCTTGTGGTACTGTTTCATCCCAATCAATCTTTTGCAGCCACATTTTCTGCAAAATTTTTCCTCATAAAATAACTGATCCGACCAGACCCAGCGGGTCAAATATTTGAGAAATAGTAGACAACATAAATCTTTTAGTGAATCGTCTATTTCTAAATTCATCTTTAACAGAATCCCACGCGATTCCCAAAATCTTTGCTTCAATCAAGTTTAAATCTTTCAACTCATTGTTGTTATTAGAATTAAATTTTCGTAATTCGAATTTGCCTCGACTCAAAATACCTGAAATGTCGTGTTTCAGTTGCAATACTTTTTGCTCAGAATTTGCACCCGTTAATAGATCATCCATATAAAAATCATGATCAATAGATCTAGCAGCGTCAGGATAGGCAATCTCGTTATCTCTTGCCAATTGATATAAACAACGCGTACTTAAATAAGACGCTGTAGCGGTCCAATAAGTAACTGTATTCAACGTAAAATGTTTGATTGTATTATTCGAATTGTCACGCCCTAATATTCGTTGCAAATTTCTTTGCTTTGGGTGGATATTAGCCGGTACATTAGTTAACACATAATTATATAGTTGAAATCTCAAGATTATTGATATCAAATCGTCTTGAACCACAGGTCCAACCCTGAGCAAATCGTTTAGAGAAAATCCTGAGGATGTCTTTGCGGACGTGTCAAACACTACTCTCAACTTAGTAGACATTTTAAGAATACAATGGTGCGGTACGTAATTTACTACTTCGTTCGATGTATCCAATTTCCCCAATTCATGTGACCCAATGACTCGTAATCAGACATAAATTTAAGGTACTCTTTCTTCAATTCTGATTTTTTTGCGAATTTGTTTTCCAATGAGATTAAACATCGCTTTGCAACATCATAGGATTCACCTAAAATTTGAGGATTGTCCTTCAATGGCAACGAAACTTGAGTCTCTCTTTGATTAGCGTTACGAAAGTGAGTCTCAACCTCCAAGTCTTCAGGAGATAAATGGTTAATCTTCGGTGATTCCTCAATTTCCCAAAATCTTTCCCAAAAAATAATTTTGACAAAATTAGGGAAATAGGTATGTAGCAGTTGGTAACACTTGAAAATAGAAATTTGAATTGACAATTAGAAACTGTCAAAACACAAAATATATTCACCTGACAAAAATGTTTCATGTACACCTTCCAAAATAAGAGAAATTGCTCAGATTCGATGCTAAGAACGTGTTTAAACATCCATAGACAAAACATTGTCACATTGACAACTAAAAAAAATTAATCACCCAATGTCACCAACTTAAACTGGTTCCATAAAATGTTACTAAAATCTCATTACAGCATCGAATGCTGTAAAAAGTCTCATTACAGCACCCGTTTGAGTACTGTTATAGCTTTCATTACCGTTGCGAATTACAAAAAGAATCTTATTAATTCGTAAAATCTATCTGCAAATACCTCTCTATCGCTTTCTTGTGTTGAATCAAATGATTCGATTTTGATTTTAATGGATTCGTATTCGCGTAATAAATCAACAACGTTATCCAACCTAACCTTTAATTCGTCTGGTTTTTGGTTTGCTTGGTTGATTAAAAATGTTTCGAATCTCGTTATTTTAATTTTAACAAATCTTCCATTGTAATGAAAGACTGATAAGGAAAGAAAAAAAAAAGGACTGACCTTGACCGGCTCCAATACGGCGGCAAATTGTTGTTAAATGACGATACAATAACCAATTTCTTCGGAAAACTGCTCCATAGAAAATAGCTTCGTAGAAAAATGCAACTTTCTAACCAAAAAATTCGTACTAAAAAATTGAACGCATGTGGCGCCATCTGTTGGGGATGTTTTGGAATTATTCAGCTAAGAACCGAACCACTAAAATAACCTGTATTCTAGTAGGATCGAGTTTATATATAAAAGCTCGAACCACAGAATAACTGTTTGGAAAGTAGTTACGTAGTAGCTCCAATTAACGTTCCGACTAGTTGGGAATTCCTCAGATGCAATTACTTATGGCAATTACACCTGTCAAATAATGTCGCCACATTTGAATATCTCTATATGACGAGCTTCCAACCAGTTATAACGTTAGCTAAAACAAAGCTACAATGTCAATAATAATCTAATTATTTAATCATACTATTATTACCTTATTATACTCTTACCAAAAAATCACTTTAAAATGACGTTTTCATCTGTCATTCTGAATTAAAAGTTGAAGTTAGCGACAAATTTAAAAATATAACACGAATTGGAATCTATACTTTTTAAATTAAAAGAATGATACTGGTAATAATTGTTATTGTTCTCTCATCATTCTCATTATTAATAATAAAATTGTTAGTTTAATTAAATTATTTCAGTATAGACGCTAGTGCCATCTTACGGTGGGATTTCGACATACAATTAGTCCCTTATAATTAGTTCTCCTATCTAAGATCCCTGGGGCTGAATTGCTCCCGTATCCGGTTCGTGGGACCAAAATGTTATGGACTGTATTTAATTTTGAATGAAAAGCTTCTATTTTTGTTGTGTCCCTTCGACCTCTCACTAACGACATCTGTGAACGAAAGTCGCAACAAGGTTTTTTGAAAACTTTTTGACGTTATTTTCTAACCTAATTGTCAACTACATTCTAATTTTAGTTGAATAAATATGTAAAATATTATCTTTGTTTTAGTATCAAACGTGAACGAATCTCCAGAAGACAACGTTTACATAGAATTTGAGGATCAATCTAGTCCTACGAGCGAGTACATGAATCTCCCATTAAACATACAAAAATCCCAAAACAGAGAGTATATGAATTTCTCATCACCAATTTCGAATCAAAATTTTGGCGAATACATGAATTATAAACCTGGAAAAAAATAAAATATAAAAGAAAAAATATCCCAGCTAATAATTAATTTATGTACCAAATAGTATATGTTTAAGTTAATTTATTTATGTTTTTTTTTTTATTTTATATAAATATGATTATAACCTTCGTACGATTTTTATATTTGTACATTATAAAGAATTTAAAATAAAATAAGACGCAATGTATGTCATAACAATTAATTCTTTATTTTCTTATTTAACCTTAAAATATTCTTACTACGTTTTTATTTTAATGCCTAAAGTTTTAGTACGTTCGATCCTTCTTTGTTGTTGTTCTGCGAACTTTTTCTCTCGATCCAATCGTTTTTTCTCTTTCAAAACTTGCATTGCGTCCCAATCTAATTCTTCGCCTTCCCAACCCGGGTTTTCGTCCCATTCCCCCAATTCTTTTCCCTACGACACCAAAAAAATTAAACAAAAATCGATTAAACGTTTCAAATTTACCATTGATACTCCACTTGGAACGAAAACATTCATTTTCTCGTTTAAACCTTCTTTATTTTCATTAGCAACAAATATTTTTTTTTGCCGAGTTATCTCTGGGGTCATATTCTCAAAAAAATCCTCTTGGTTCTCAACTTCCTCCTCTTGTTTTTGTAATTGCGCTTTTTGTTGCCTATAAAACTCAATATGTTCTTGCACAGTGGTCGGATTTTTTAGCCGATCATCCCCCCAATCGTTCCAAGCCGTTTCTTCATTTTCACTCTTTACCACACCAATTCCCGTGAGGGGCTCATCAAAAGAAACTCGCCGTCTTTTATGGAAACAACATAAAGCCCGTCTGAAGATCCCGATTAGGAACAACATAAACGAACGAAGTTTATGTATTAAAATTGATATCACCATTTTTTTGGGGTTATGTTGAACCAATTTTTCATTATCATCAAGATTTTAATCGATTTTATTAAAATAAAGGTGTATTTTTGGAGTTATTGATGGTTTTTTAGTTGATTTTTTTGAGGTTATGGTGAGATAACCTCTTTTTGGAATCAACTAACGCGAAGTTAGCGTTAAATCGGATTAATTAAAAATTAATAGTTATTTAATTGAAAATTTGATTAAAATTGATTTAATTAAGTTAAAATTTGATGTGGAAAGATTAATAATACAATAAACATATGATATTTTTAATAAAAAAATATTATCAAACTTATTTTAGTTTAACACTAAATATCACCAGATTAAAATAATATTTATTTATTAAAAGAATTATTAATTAATTATAACTTTTTTAATCCTAAATAATCTGAAATTTAAAACAAATTTAAAATATAAATAAAATTTTTTTGACAAAATAACCTAAAAAAATTTTTGTTGTCAAAAATGACATAAAACATAACCTCAAAATTTATATTATTTCAATAAAAATGAGTGAATTTTCCCCAAAATCGAAGAAATCTCTACAAGAGAAACTAAAATTGCTTTGTATTCATGGTTATCGGCAAAATGGGGAAGCATTTCGCCAAAAAACGGGGTCTTTTCGCAAGATAATAGGGAAATGGGCCGATTTTACTTACGTTACAGCCCCCCATAAAGTAATTAAGGTTGATACGGATGCAAATATTAATATTGGGCAAAGCCCCGATACAGGTTAATATGAAAACTCAAACGTTTTAATCTTACAATATAATTTTTTATTAATTTAGAACAATTTGGGTGGTTCTTCAATCGAGATGATCACACTTACCGCGGTATTCGTAAAGGAGGTCCAGCTATAGGGTTTGAAGAATCTTTAAGGTTTATTGAGGATACTTTTAAAGAACACGGACCGTTCGATGGAATCATAAGCTTCTCACAAGGAGGTTGCTTTACCGGGTTATTATGTGATTTACAACAAAGAAATTGTAAATATTTCACTTTTAGTGATTAAAATTAATTAATTTTTAATCATTTTTAGTGACTAAATGCAAATTTAACTTTGTCATTTTCTTCTCTGCTTTTAAATCGGATTGTTTGCCGCATAAAAAGTATTATTCTGATAAAATAACCATTCCGAGTTTGCACGTTTTTGGGGAAAACGATGAAATAATCCCGAAAGGTTTGTTCTAATTATGATTTAATTATTTTAAGTTTATTTTTGTTGAAATAGAAATGAGTGCTGATTTATCGGAATGCTTTGAAGATCCTGTTGTTTTAAAACATTCGGGGGGTCACTTCGTCGCTGCTAATTCCCAACAAAAACCGATTTACAAGGAATTTATACAAGAACGGTTTTTAGAGAAGCTACAAAATGAAGAGGATGAATTAGATGATTAAATTAAAAAGGAATCTTTTTTATCATTAAAAATTATTTTCTTTTTGTACCGCTAGATGGAGCTTTTAATTTATTTATAATAAAATAATTAAAAATCCTGATTAATTAACTTTATTTATAAATTTAGTTTTTTTTGTATTCAAATCGCGTCAAATTTAAATATTATTCTTCTCCTCCCGCCCCTTTTGTTTCCGTTTGCCGAAATTAAACAGTTTGAAGTTGAGGTTAAATTTCTTGCGGAGATTTTCAAACTTTGTTTTCATCTTGTCTTTGCCGGTTTCTTCCGATTCATTAATGAAAGAGCATCCAGCTAAACTATCATCGTCTGGGCCCTCATTTCGTTTTAACACTTCTTCGTCGCTTTTTTTGTTTAAATCGATGTTTATTAAGCACTCGTCTGGGGTAACTGGAGTTAAGACGACCTTTTCTTCGTCTTCATCTTCGATTTTGTCGCCTTTTTTTGAATGCTTCCACTTGCAAGCTTCTTCGGGTTTAATGCAATCTAATTCGATAACTTGCAGAACCATTTCATTGCTTTCCTCCCACTCGGCTTGTTTATTCCTGGTTTCTTCTGACATCAAAAGCTCGGATAAGACTTGTTTTGAGTTCATGACCAAATCGGTGACTCTCGTTTTCTTTTCGACTATCTTTATCTTATCAGAATCGACCAAACATTCCTCAGAAGCTGTCTCCTCTTTGACTTCATCAACTGGTTGATCACCTACCCCATCCTTTCTCGAAACATTCTCAAAATTAGCTCCATCATAAGGTGGGGAAGACATCATCTCGCTGAGTAACCTCTTCATCTCCACGTCTAATCTCGGTGGTTCTTCGGCGTTCTGATTCGGCAAATGAATCGTGTTCAAGCCATCCACGATTTCTTTGATTCGCGAACTTTCGTCGGCCGCGATTTCCGCGACTTCTTGAGTTACCAGTTGGGTTGGAAACGGGCCCTCTTCCATGGTGAAGGCAACGTTATCGCCCATCGTCGCAATGTCCAATGCGCTTTCGAGGATGTCGTTTACGACTTCCGAACAAATGCACGTGGCTAGGTTCGGTTCTTCTTTCGATGTCACGTGGTATTTTACTTCGCCCGCTCCGTTTAATGTTAATCCTTCGCCCATTTGGTTACCGATGTTGCACGCGACATTCGCACCGGACATATTGACAAGGAAATGGCGTCTGACAAAATTTTGATGACAATTAGTTTTTGTAGTCTTCTAGATTTTTTTTTTGTAACTTTTTCCCTTTTTGCCATAAACCAAGTAAGGTAAAACCACCAGTAGTTGACACTGAGTGCAACGAGTGCACGGTTTTTATTTGTTTATTGTAATATTTTTGTGAAATTTGCTAAGAATAAGCTGAGACGAACCGAAAAAGAAACAACACATAAAGGAAAAAATGCCCTCTATCGTTTCACGACAACTGTGTCAAGAATATTTTACAAAAAAATTTGCAAAAAAGGAAAAATTAGAAAAAAGGAAAGTGGATCAATTGTTTCCACAGCATGTACTCTTGTTTTGTTAGAGGGAAATCCACTAATATTAATATGGTTTGGGGTACTCTCAGTCAGAAATAAAAATGGAAGTGCAAGTTCAAGATACTGTAACTACTTTGTTACAGCAATGGGAATTGCACGTATCGCAGTGAAGTTCCTTATAAATATGAATATCTAAATTTAAGTGATGTAAGTAAAGAACTGAACACAACGGCGCTTCCTTTTTCACGTTCCCTTTTAAATAATGTGTTATCGTGTGCTCATACAAGAATAAATAATACTAAGTAGCGAGGATTTTAAGGTTAGCAAAAAATTGTATTAACAAACACTGTTCCTGAAGTAATTCTAAACAATTTTTGTTAACAAAATTTTTTGCTAACTTGAAATTTTAATTTCCCTCTGAATAGTATGCCATCAAAATTAATTATCTTGATAATTATTGTTTTTATCAAAAAATGTTTTAAGTAAAATTTGTTTCAATTTCGATTTTGAATCAATTATCTTAATAAACAATTTTTACATCTCTATTAATTAAGCATCTAAGTGTGATTATATATAAAAATGGAAAAATCATTATTTTGAGGTTATCTCCTTAATTATTGATTAAATCAAAAAAAATTGTTGACAAAGTTTGTTTAGAATTGTTTCAGAAACAATTTTTGTTAACACAATTTTTTTCTAACTTGAAATTTTAATTTCCCACTGAATAGTATGCTACAAAAATTAATATTTTTGAGGTTATATCCTTATTGTTGATTTAATCAAAAAATGTTGTTAACAAAATTTGTTTAAAATTACTTCAGAAACAGTGTTTGTTAATATAATTTTTTGTTAACTTGAAATTTTAATTTCCCTCTGAATAGTATGCATCAAAATTAATTATCTCGATAATTTGATTATTGTTTTTATCAAAAAATGTTTTAAATAAAATTTGTTTCAATTTCGATTTTGAATAAATTATCTTAATAAAAAACTTTTACATCTCTATTAATTCAGCATCTCAGTGTAATTATGTATAAAAATTTAAAAATTATTATTTTGGGGTTATCTCCTTAATTATTGATGAAATCAAGAATAAATGTTGATAAAGTTTGTTTAGAATTGTTTCAGAAACAATTTTTGTTAACACAATTTTTTTCTAATTTGAAATTTTAATTTCCCACTGAATAGTATGCTACAAAAATTAATATTTTTGAGGTTATATCCTTACTGTTGATTTAATCAAAAAATGTTGTTAACAAAATTTGTTTAAAATTACTTCAGGAACAGTGTTTGTTAATAAAATATTTTGCTAACTTGAAATTTTAATTTCCCTCTGAATAGTACGCTATCGGAATTAATTATCTCGATAATTATTGTTTTTAATAAAAAATGTTTTAAATAAAATTTGTTTCAATTTCGGTTTTGAATCAATTATGTTAATAAAAAAATTTTACATCTCTATTAATTAAGCATCTAAGTGTGATTATGTATAAAAACGGAAAAATTATTATTTTGGGGTTATGTCCTTAATTATTGATTAAATCAAAAAAGAATGTTGACAAAGTTTGTTTAGAATTGTTTCAGAAACAATTTTTGTTAACACAATTTTTTTCTAACTTTAAATTTTAATTTCCCACTGAATAGTATGCTACAAAAATTAATATTTTTGAGGTTATATCCTTATTGTTGATTTAATCAAAAAATATTGTTAACAAAATTTGTTTAGAATTACCTCAGGAACAGTGTTTGTTAATAAAATTTTTTGCTAACTTGAAATTTTAATTTCCCTCTGAATAGTACCTACCTATGCTATCAAAATTAATTATCTCGATAATTATTGTTTTTATCAAAAAATGTTTTAAATAAAATTCATTTCAATTTCGGTTTTGAATCAATTACCTTAATAAAAAAATTTTACATCTCTATTAATGAAGCATCTAAGTGTGATTATGTATAAAAACGGAAAAATTATTATTTTGGGGTTATCTCCTTAATTATTGATTAAATCAAAAAAGAATGTTCACAAAGTTTGTTTAGAATTGTTTCCGAAACAATTTTTGTTAACACAATTTTTTTCTAACTTGAAATTTTAATTTCCCACTGAATAGTATGCTACAAAAATTAATATTTTTGAGGTTATATCCTTATTGTTGATTTAATCAAAAAATGTTGTTAACAAAATTTGTTTAGAATTACTTCAGGAACAGTGTTTGTTAATAAAATTTTTTGCTAACTTGAAATTTTAATTTCCCTCTGAATAGTATGCTATCAAAATTAATTATCTCGATAATTATTGTTTTTATCAAAAAATGTTTTAAATAAAATTTGTTTCAATTTCGATTTTGAATCAATTATCTTAATACAAAATTTTTACGTCTCTATTAATTAAGCATCTAAATGTAATTATGCATAAAAATTTAAAAATGTACAAAAATAATTGTTGATGTTTAGTGTAATTACTACAATTTACTTGTTTTCTTTATAAATATATCTTAATAAAGTATCTGAAGTATCTAAATATTAATAGACATTTTAAACACAAATAATCGTCAATATTAAATTCAACTATTTGCAGTAATTAATATACAGTGCCACACTTAATTATTAGCACAGCAATCGTTTTTCGTTTTATGGCTGTTTTTAAACCAAATTAACAAATGGTATTAGGTGAAAGTATTTATCCTATATNTGTCAAAAAATATCCGATGAACATGAGGATTTTTCACTACAGAGAGTAATTGCATAACTACTTCACCACCCAAGCCTAATTTTGATTTTCCCGTTTTCATTGCGGCTCCAGCGTAAGGTTCAAAGTGAAATAAATATCCGTCAGATGAACATAAACACCAAAGTTTGAAACCGAATCTTACCGGTTTCCCCTTGATAAACATTTTACATGAATAGCGCCCAAAATATGGAACCATTTGATCATCAACAGATAAATTGTGACACCAAATTGTAATTTTTTTTTGTTTATAAGCTGAAGGAATGGTCGTATTTTTGCAAATTTATCAGATGGATCTAATAGACTCTTATCTGATAAATGAAGGTTTCGTTTTATGTTCTGAAATGTATTACGACTCATGGTTTTTCGTCGTTTATACACTCCTCATCTGTTAGATAGTCAACCGGAGGAGGAATATAAACAGCATCCACGACAGCTAAAGTCAATATCGAATAAAAATAAATTTTAATTCTATATTCATATTTTACTTGCAACATGGATATCTATCTTAATCACAACAAAATAATATAAGAATTACCTCCCTTTCTCTCTATTTCCAGTTCATTAACAATTTCTTCTAGAGAAGCATCTAATTCCCTTTTTGTGAGAAACCGAGACATTTTGCACAAAAACACACTCTTAACGCAGTATTCCATAAATGACTAAATTCGTTCGGAAATTCACCTAACAGACGCGTCTAAACTGGTTTCAAATAATACGAAAGATGATGCAATCCTTATATCTCTTCATACATCGTCCCAATGGTGCGTTTTTGCACCATTAATGTTTCAAGTCGTATTTTCAGAATCCATATTTTTATTTCGCGTTTCAAGATATATATGAGGAAAGTATGCACTAAAAACTTGCAAATGAAAAAATTTTGAAGAATTTTATGCACTAAAAATAGTTTTATTTTCATTGTATATTTTGAACAGAAATGTTCAATAGAAAAGAATTGAAGTAAATATAGTTTAAATAGCAAGAATTATGAAATATTTTGATATGTATNACAATTTTTTTCTAACTTGAAATTTTAATTTCCCACTGAACAGTATGCTATAAAAATTAATATTTTTGAGGTTATATCCTTATTGTTGATTTAATCAAAAAATGTTGTTAACAAAATTTGTTTAGAATTACTTCAGGAACAATGTTTGTTAATAGAATTTTTTGCTAACTTGAAATTTTAATTTCCCTCTGAATAGTATGCCATCAAAATTAATTATTGTTTTTATCAAAAAATGTTTTAAATAAAATTTGTTTCAATTTCCTTGAAAATATATTTGTTATATACTATATGTATACTTGTTTTCTTTATAAATATATCTTAATAAAGTATCTAGTGATACGGATATGAATAATGAACATTAATAGACATTTTAAACATAAATAATCGTCAATATTAAATTTAACTATTTGCAGTGGTTAATATAAATATGTTATTATACATTTAGTTAAATAATATTACTGGATTTTATTATCAACAATAAAACTCATCGAAACGTTGCCACTTTTTTATTGATAAACAAAATACGTCTAACAGCAATGGCTATAACGAAAACAAAATTATTCTCTTCTACTTTATTGCAAAACACAGATGCAAGAGAAGCCTAAGTGACGAATACTTCTTCTACTACTTATGTTTTGTTTCTTTATAAATCTTACGTCGTTGTAGAAGCCCTCTGATAGGGCTCAGATTACAGAGAGCTTTTACTGAGGTAATAACTACATTTTTAGCGCTTAATACCAACCGAACCCAAATCAATTTGAATATGAAATATTTATTTCTTAATTAATTTAAAACTTAAACATTTATAAAATTAATTTATTTACAGTTTGCGGTGTTATATACAAAATTGGGCTCGATTGGTATTTTTTTTATTATTACATTTAGTTATTGTCGACATTTAATTTTTTTTTGGTATTATTGTTACAACGAAGCTTTACACCTAATCTTTTTTAATTTATTTAATATTTACACGTTATCGCCGTTATTATTTATTTACTTATTTATCTATTATTACAACTAATTTTTTTTTTAATTTCATTTTGATTTATTAAGTCATATGAAAATCGCCTTTAAGAATCCTCGTGAAAGTTTTTTTAAACTGTTGATTCGCAAGGGCGTAACAAAACGGATTTAACGGGCTATTTGCGTAACACAAGAAATAAGAAAACATATAAAAGTGTTCGTTAGTGCACGGCGGATTCGAACAGAACCCCTCGACCAAAGCCAAAATGTGATACGGCGTCCAACAAATTACGAAAGCCCCCAAAATGAACGATATCGTCCTAAACGCTTTCCTCGCTCGATTCTCCGATTTCGATTTTTGCCGGCCGAATGTTGTCGAATTTTCGCGTAGTTTCTTTTTTTTCGTTTTCAATCGTTTTCCGATGTTTTTAACGAAATCTTTTTTGGTGGATACCCCCTCATCGGTCGTCTCTATTTTGTTATCAATGTTACAATTTTTTGATTCTTGATTTTCGATGGGACTGATTTTACCTGTTTGACTGATGGTTGGATTTCCGCAAAGGGGGCTGCTATCTTCTGTGAGATCAACCAAACTCGTTACTGTTCGTTCCGCCGTCAAGGTGACCTCGGTGTTTAACTTTTTAGTTTGCGCTGCTCTTATTAGGGTCGTCTGCAGCAAAGAAGTGTTAGCTGCGAGCGGGGGATGATGCACGGGGGATGATGTTATTGTACTAGATGATGGGGGACTTTCACAAATAGGTGAGGGGATTGCAACTGAGCTTTCGTCCATGTATTTTAAGTCAGCTCCGTCCATGCTAACGAGAAGGTCGTATGTGGCTTGTGGTTTAACACGTAAGGTTTTTGGGCGCTCAATGGGGGATGCTTGAAATTGTACGGGGGGAGGTATGATGTTTTGAGATCTTTGAGAGGGAGAAGGCGAACAATTTTCTAGAGTACCTACCCCGGTGGCGTTGTTACTTGGATTTTCGACATCTAGAAGACTCTGCTCGGAAATTTTCGGCAACGGCGACGCCATCTCAATGGGATTCACTGAATTTGGAATACCCCCATTGATTTTATTGTTATTTTCAAAAAGATTCGACGTACTTATCTGCATCACTATCCCCATCACGCACGATTTCCTTTTGGGCTGTTGCTGCTGCTGATTTACCGCGGTGCTCTCATCATCCGAGTCAAAAGCAGGACTGCTCGATCTCTCCGATTTATCTGGCTCCTCCTTAACTCTTTCTGGATTTGTTGGAGCAATCAAATGTTTCCTCTCATTTGCATCAGAAGTTGTTGTGGTGGTTGTCGTGGTGATTGTACTATTTTTAATCGAACACGTTTTCTGGCTTGAATTTGAATCAGCAGATCCTATATTATCTTTCACAACTAAAGCACTATTAGAATTAGAATTAGTATTAGTATTAGAATTAGCTTGCTCAATTTGGGGAGCAACCGGCTTATTATTATCCTGGCTAATCAGCGTGCTTTGAGTCTTCGACAACCCAATTCCCGCAGCTCTCCCAGCCATCCCACTCATCGCGCCAGCACTCAAAGCAACCATGCTCTGCATCTTCCTCTGTTTAGCCTCGCTTTTCTTTTGCATCTCATAAGCCGTCTTGTAAATCCCCCCATACAAAATAAACAGCACAATCAGCGTAGTCCAATAATACCCAATAATCAGCGCAGTGTTAAAAACAGGATCTTTCAAAAACTGCACGGCGCATTGCCCAGGAAGTAAATCCCTATACCCAATAAAATGCTCCCAGCCGAAAATGCTTATAAAAAACAACAAAGCCGGGACGATCCAGGTTATGGTCACCATAAGGAGGACTTTCGTTTTCGTTCTCCAACTTCGATACTTCGCTGCGATTTTGACCGAGCAAAATCTGTCGATTGTTATTAATAAGACGGTGTATTGGGATACTAAACAAACGGTGTAGTCGACGCTTAACCAAAGATCGCACAGCAAGGGGCCCAAGTCCCAATATCCCATTAAAACGTAAACGGTGTAAAACGGCATCGAGACCGTGCCTAGAAACGAAAATCGGTGTGAAAAGGTGTCGTTAAAATTTAAAAATGCTAAGTTTTATGGCACAAAAAATTTTATATCAACTTTTATTATTATTTTATATCGATTTAGTTCTTTTGTATATTATGGTCATAAATGTTAATATAAAATTGTAATGTATTATGAATAATACGTATTATGATTAAGTTTTTGGACAACCGGTTGTGAAGGAGATGGAGAGTCTAACGAATTCTCCAGAAGAACTGGAAAATGATCTTATGGAGAAAAATGAAAATTTTAAGATTAAATTGCTTAACTCAAAATCGTTAACTTACTATGAAGTTAAACATTTTATGTAATTCTCATCCGGTTGTCCAAAAATATTAATAAAAATTAGTGGTGGAACGGATATTCGGTCATCAACTTATCAGCAGATAATAATCAAGTTCAACCCCAGTAGGACTTTTTTCATTTAATACAACTTTATTTATATCAGGTTTGTTTTTAGCAACCTCAATACGATATATAAAATCCTTCTCTTCGCTTGTAATTCATCATCTAACAGAACTGTTGCTGTTATCACTTTCGATTATTAATTAAAGTACTTTTTTCGAATTTTGCAATTTTCGCCGATTAAGTTTTAAAAATTCGTATAAAATCCATTTCTTGGAATATGAGTATGAAAATTTCCCAAAATGTTAATAAAAGTGTCCTCTTTCCAATGAACCAACCCGTTTTGAAAAATAACTTTTAGTTTTTGAGAAAACAATATTTGAAGTTTTGATAAAATTTTCGATGATGCAATTTTCAAAATTCGCTATAAAATTAATTTCTTGAAGGATCCTTGTGGAAATATCACCAATTATTAATTAAAGTATCCTCTTTTTAATGCAATAAGCCGTTTTGAAAAATCACTTTTGGTTTTTGAGAAACAAATTTTTGAAATGATTTTTTCGAATTTTGCAATTTTCGCCGTTTAAGTTTTCAAAAATTCGTATAAAATCCATTTCTTGGAATATGAGTATGAAAATTTCCCAAAATGTTAATAAAAGTGTCCTCTTTCCAATAAACCAACCCGTTTTGAAAAATCACTTTTAGTTTTTGAGAAAACAATATTTGAAGTTTTGATTAAATTTTCATCGATAATTTTCAATATTCGCTATAAAATTAATTTCTTGAAGGATCCTTGTGGAAATATCACCAATTATTAATTAAAGTATCCTCTTTTTAATGCAAAAAGCCGTTTTGAAAAATCACTTTTAGTTCTTGAGAAATAAATTTTTGAAATGATCGACAATTTTTTCGAATTTTGCAATTTTCGCCGATTAAGTTTTAAAAATTCGTATAAAATCCAGTTCTCGGAATATGAGTATGAAAATTTCCCAAAATGTTAATAAAAGTGTCTTCTTTCCAATGAACCAACCCGTTTTGAAAAATAGCTTTTAGTTTTTGAAAAAACAATATTTAAAGTTTTGATAAAATGTTCGATGTTGCAATTTTCTAAATTCGCTATAAAATTAATTTCTTGAACGATCCTTGTGGAAATATCACCAATTATTAATTAAAGTATCCTCTTTTTAATGCAACAAGCCGTTTTAAAAAATCTCTTTCAGTTCTTGAGAAATAAATTTTTGAAATGATCGACAATTTTTTCGAATTTTGCAATTTTCGCCGATTAAGTTTTAAAAATTCGTATAAAATCCATTTCTTGGAATATGAGTATGAAAATTTCCCAAAGTGTTAATAAAAGTGTCCTCTTTCCAATGAACCAACCCGTTTTGAAAAATAACTTTTAGTTTTTGAGAAAACAATATTTGAAGTTTTGATAAAATTTTCGATGTTGCAATTTTCATCGATAATTTTCAAAATTCGCTATAAAATTAATTTCTTGAAGGATCCTTGTGGAAATATCACCAATTATTAATTAAAGTATCCTCTTTTTAATGCAACGAGCCGTTTTAAAAAATCACTTTTGGTTTTTGAGAAATAAATTTTTGAAATGATTTTTTCGAATTTTGCAATTTTCGCCGATTAAGTTTTAAAAATTCGTATAAAATCCAGTTCTTGGAATAGGAGTATGAAAATTTCCTAAAATGTCAATAAAAGTGTCCTCTTTCCAATGGACCAACCCGTTTTGAAAAATAACTTTTAGTTTTTGAGAAAACAATATTTGAAGTTTTGATAAAATTTTCGATGTTGCAATTTTCATCGATAATTTTCAAAATTCGCTATAAAATTAATTTCTTGAAGGATCCTTGTGGAAATATCACCAATTATTAATTAAAGTATCCTCTTTTTAATGCAAAAAGCCGTTTTGAAAAATCACTTTTAGTTCTTGAGAAATAAATTTTTGAAATGATCGACAATTTTTTCGAATTTTGCAATTTTCGCCGATTAAGTTTTAAAAATTCGTATAAAATCCATTTCTTGGAATATGAGTATGAAAATTTCCCAAAGTGTTAATAAAAGTGTCCTCTTTCCAATGAACCAACCCGTTTTGAAAAATAACTTTTAGTTTTTGAGAAAACAATATTTGAAGTTTTGATAAAATTTTCGATGTTGCAATTTTCATCGATAATTTTCAAAATTCGCTATAAAATTAATTTCTTGAAGGATCCTTGTGGAAATATCACCAATTATTAATTAAAGTATCCTCTTTTTAATGCAAAAAGCCGTTTTGAAAAATCACTTTTAGTTCTTGAGAAATAAATTTTTGAAATGATCGACAATTTTTTCGAATTTTGCAATTTTCGCCGATTAAGTTTTAAAAATTCGTATAAAATCCATTTCTTGGAATATGAGTATGAAAATTTCCCAAAGTGTTAATAAAAGTGTCCTCTTTCCAATGAACCAACCCGTTTTGAAAAATAACTTTTAGTTTTTGAGAAAACAATATTTGAAGTTTTGATAAAATTTTCGATGTTGCAATTTTCATCGATAATTTTCAAAATTCGCTATAAAATTAATTTCTTGAAGGATCCTTGTGGAAATATCACCAATTATTAATTAAAGTATCCTCTTTTTAATGCAACAAGCCGTTTTGAAAAATCACTTTTGGTTTTTGAGAAATAAATTTTTGAAATGATTTTTTCCAATCTTGCAATTTTCGCCGATTAAGTTTTAAAAATTCGTATAAAATCCATTTCTTGGAATATGAGTATGGAAATTTCCCAAAATGTTAATAAAAGTGTCCTCTTTCCAATAAACCAACCCGTTTTGAAACATAACTTTTAGTTTTTGAGAAAACAATAATTGAAGTTTTGATAAAAGTTTCGATGTTGCAATTTTCAAAATTCGCTATAAAATTAATTTCTTGAAGGATCCTTGTGGAAATATCACCAATTATTAATTAAAGTATCCTGTTTTTAATGCAACAAGTCGTTTTGAAAAATCAATTTTGGTTTTTGAGAAATAAATTTTTGAAACGATTTTTTCGAATTTTGCAATTTTCGCCGATTAAGTTTTAAAAATTCGTATAAAATCCATTTCTTGGAATATGAGTATGAAAAATTCCCAAAATGTTAATAAAAGTGTCCTCTTTCCAATGAACCAACCCGTTTTGAAAAATAACTTTTAGTATTTGAGAAAACAATATTTGAAGTTTTGATCATATTTTCGATGTTGCAATATTCAAAATTCGCTATAAAATTCATTTCTTGAAGGATCCTTGTGGAAATACCACCAATTATTAATTAAAGTATCCTCTTTTTAATGCAATAAGCCGTTTTGAAAAATCACTTTTGGTTTTTGAGAAATAAATTTTTGAAATGATTTTTTCGAATTTTGCAATTTTCGCCGAATAAGTTTTAAAAATTCGTATAAAATCCAGTTCTTGGAATAGGAGTATGAAAATTTTTCTAAAATGTTAATAAAAGTGTCCTCTTTCCAATGGACCAATCCGTTTTGAAAAATAGCTTTTAGTTTTTGAAAAAACAATATTTGAAAAAAAATAATTTCTTGAAGGATTTTAAAGTATCCTCCTTTTTTTAGAGTTGCTTCTTTAGTTAAGTCAGCATCAAAAGAGTTAATTTTGTATTTTGGACATTTTATAGATATACCGGATATCCGGCTTTTCGCAAAATCACTATCCGTTCCATCTCTAATAAAAATTATATATATTACTCACCTATTAGCATGTCAGTAGCGGCCAAAGAGGCAATAAAATAATTACTTGGTTGCCTAATATTTCTATCAACGATAAAAGCCAAAAGTACTAAAATATTCCCAGCGATCGTTAACAAAATACAACACGCTAAACACAACGCAATTAAAATCGTTTGCCATAATTCAAACGGTGGTAAAACCGGCGCTAACGTCGTCTCCGTAGAAAACGTCTCATTCTTACTATCCCCATCCAAAGAAGTATTTCCACGCAGATACCAATCAACGGAAAAATTTCCAGAAAAACTAAACGTTTCAGGATCCCAAGATCTGATAAACGTCGTTGAATTGAACGCTTGCACACATTCAGTGTACGATAAGACATTGTTATAAACAGTTTTACAAAATCTTTCCTTTTGTTTCTGCAACTTCCTGAAACAAAACAGAGAAAGAATAAGTTTTAGTTTTAATTTGAAGCAAACTTTTTAAAGTCGATTACGGGTTGATTGATACTCCTGTAATACAAGAAGGCCATTAAAAGCGGAGACGACGATAGAGGCTCTTCATGATTGATTGATCGATTGTGGTGGTAAATCCGTCGACTTAAACTGTTTGCTTTATGCAAGGGAAATTTTGTTTTTAAAATCGGTTAAAAAGCGTTTCGTTGAAAATTGTCGTGACGGAAATCTATGTTTTGCATTTCGTGACCATTTACTATTTGAATTTGACATTGCGAAAATAAAAAGTGCATGCGAAATATTTCCTAATCAATAAAAATGAAAATAATAGTAAAAAAAGAATTAACATCCTTTTAGTTAGAATAGAAAGGAAACTCATTCACATAAGCCTTCTCCATATGGAAGCCTCTTTCCATCTCAAATTGAATAGAAACGAGAACTTGTATATAGAGGCAACTCTGATGATGTACAACTGTTTTCCTCCCGCCTCCGTCGGCGACGACCAGATAATAAGGATTCTAAATCTTCTCATTCAAAAGATTCAAAAACGTTGCAGCTACTGCGAATAAGGCGCATTGTGTGCGTGCCTTTCGAAATGGGGCACGAAACCGTTTTAAATTAACCGTAATTAATAATACCTTCGATTCAGGGTTGTAGCATTTCTAATGAAATTTAATATGCCATCTCGATCAACTGGTTTGACCTCCAAAATATTTAATATAAAGGGGCTTTTATCGGTGGAAAATGTGTATCGGGGCATCGAACGAGATGCATTCATGTGTAATATTCGGCTTGAATATCACAGCAGGATCCCATTAAAAGGGATGTTTGAGGGTAAAAAATTTTAACACATAAAATAACTAAATTGGTGTATTAATTCATTGTAACTCAAAAATAATGATTAACTATTTCGATTCCAAATTGGATTATATTAATAAAAATTGTACGTAATAACTAGGGCACGGAACTTTTGTAACAAAACGATTCCCCCCCTCCACTTTTCTCAGCGGAAAATTTCATACAAAAGCTGTTCTAAATTAAATTCTAAAACGATTTTCTCAATAAAAAATATATATATAAAAATTTTTTTGAGATTATTGATCAAATCAAAAATTTTTATTAACAAAATTTCTTTAGAATTACTTCAGGAACAGTGTTTATTATTTCCCTCTGAATAGTATGCTATCAAAATTAATTATCTCAACAATTATTGTTTTTATCAAAAAATGTTTTAAATAAAATTTGTTTCAATTTCGATTTTAAATCAATTATCTTAATAAAAAATTTTTACATCTCTATTAATTAAGCATCTAAGTATAATTATGTATAAAAACGGAAAAATTATTATTTTGAGGTTATCTCCTTAATTATTGATTAAATCAAAAAAAATTGTTGACAAAGTTTGTTTAGAATTGTTTCAGGAACAATTTTTGTTAACACAATTTTTTTCTAACTTGAAATTTTAATTTCCCACTGAACAGTATGCTACAAAAATTAATATTTTTGAGGTTATATCCTTATTGTTGATTTAATCAAAAAATGTTGTTAACAAAATTTGTTTAGAATTACTTCAGGAACAGTGTTTGTTAATACAATTTTTTGCTAACTTGAAATTTTAATTTCCCTCTGAATAGTATGCTATCAAAATTAATTATCTCAATAATTATTGTTTTTATCAAAAAATGTTTTAAATAAAATTTGTTTCAATTTCGATTTTGAATCAATTATCTTAATAAAAAATTTTTACATCTCTATTAATTAAGCATCTAAGTATAATTATGTATAAAAACGGAAAAATTATTATTTTGAGGTTATCTCCTTAATTATTGATTAAATCAAAAAAAATTGTTGACAAAGTTTGTTTAGAATTGTTTCAGGAACAATTTTTGTTAACACAATTTTTTTCTAACTTGAAATTTTAATTTCCCACTGAATAGTATGCTACAAAAATTAATATTTTTGAGGTTATATCCTTATTGTTGATTTAATCAAAAAATGTTGTTAACAAAATTTGTTTAGAATTACTTCAGGAACAGTGTTTGTTAATACAATTTTTTGCTAACTTGAAATTTTAATTTCCCTCTGAATAGTATGCTATCAAAATTAATTATCTCGATAATTATTGTTTTTATCAAAAAATGTTTTAAATAAAATTTGTTTCAATTTCGATTTTGAATCTATTATCTTAATAAAAAATTTTTACATCTCTATTAATTAAGCATCTAAGTGTAATTATATATAAAAATTTAAACATTATTATTTTGAGGTTATCTCCTTAATTATTGATTAAACCAAAAAAAAATGTTGATAAAGTTTGATTAGAATTGTTTCAGGAACAATTTTTGTTAATACAGTTTTTTGCTAACTTGAAATTTTAATTTCCCTCTGAATAGTATGCTATCAAAATTAATTATCTCAATAATAATTGTTTTTATCAAAAAATGTTTTAAATAAAATTTGTTTCAATTTCGATTTTGAATCAATTATCTTAATAAAAAATTTTTAGATCTCTATTAATTAAGCATCGAAGTGTAATTATGTATAAAAATTTAAAAATTATTATTTTGAGGTTATCTCCTTAATTATTGATTAAATAAAAAAAAATGTTTATAAAGTTTGTTTAGAATTGTTTCAGGAACAATTTTTGTTAACATAATTTTTTTCTAACTGTTCTTTTAATCAAGATTTTCTGAGAACGAGTGGAGGGGGGAAATCGTTTTGTTACAAAAGTTCCGTGCCCTAGTAATAACTCACAAAAATTTAATTTATAACTATTTTCTGTTGTTAGTTATAAAGCAAATTCTATGAATTTACGATTTTAATGATGATTATCCCAAAAATAACTTCATTATAATTTTTTTATGCAACTGGAATAGCTTAACATCATAGATTTCTCTTAACCCTCATTGGAATACAAACTGGAACGCTCCAAGAAATTTTTAAACCCTCAGTATGTGCGAGACAAATGAATTAATGCTTTAAAAGTACACCCTTGCATTGTTACGACCCGTAATATCACTCCATCTCTTTCTCGACTGAGTTTCTCCGCATTAACACTAACGTGCAAGTTCCAAGGGTTTAATTAACTCATTTTTCGTGGCGTATAAATTCCCCAAGTAGAATTAGGAAGGATATACGAAGAGAGAAGTGAAAAATTATTTTAAATAAGTAAATAAAACAGTTTTAAGTAGTGTTAAATTAATTGTTATCGTGTAGTTACCACAGATAATTATAGAGTTGAACTGAAAATTAATGATTAACATCCTCAAATATTTAAACGTGTTCGCTGCACATTGTCGATGGAGCTATTGATTGCAATATAGAGTCGAGAGCGTGTGGTTACAATTTTTATTAGACAGTTACATACCGCGGTTAAATATTAATTAAGCTTAATGGATTTACATCGTACAAATTTGATTCAAAATTAAACCTCAATTTTCTTTGTTACTTTTCGCCCCATTTTCTTAGTCTTAACTCACAACGTTAATAATGGTGCGAAATGGACTGCTCGAAGATGAAGAAGCCCCATTGTTGAGGTGTAGATAAAGGTTGTTTTGTTTTCGTTTCTGTGGGACTATTTTTTTTTTAACTTTAAATATCGAAGCAAATAAAGGTTTCTTTCGCCCCCTCAAACTTAATAATCGATATCTGTTGCTGTTTTTGACACTTTTAGGTTATACGAAAATGTAAGTTTTAATTCAAAATTTTTTTTCTCAATATTTTTCAAATCCAACCCAACAATTATTACACATCGCTTTAAAGAGAAAGCTTTGAGCTTTAATTTAGAATAAGTCTCATTGCTTAATTTCAATAAATACTGCTTCCAGGGATTTTTAAATTAACATCTTTTTTGACACTTAGGTTATATGAAAATGTAAGTTTTCTTTCAACATTTTTTTCTCAATATTTTTCCAATGCAACCCAACAATTATTATACATCGTTTTAAAGAGAAAGCTTTGAGCTTTAATTTAGAACAAGTCTCATTCCTTAATTTCAATAAATACGGCTTCCAGGAATTTTTAAATTAGCATCTTTTTTTGACACTTTTAGGTTATACGAAAATGTAAGTTTTATTTCAACATTTTTTTTTTCAAAATTTTTCCAAACCAACCCAACAATCATTATGCATCGTTTTAAAGAGAAAGCTTTGAGCTTTAATTTAGAATAAGTCTCATTCCTTAATTTCAATAAATACGGCTTCCAGGAATTTTTAAATTAGCATCTTTTTTGACACTTTTAGGTTATACGAAAATGTAAGTTTTGTTTCAACATTTTTTTTCTCAATATTTTTCCAATCCAACCCAACAATTATTATACATCATTTTAAAGAGAAAGCTTTGAGCTTTAATTTAGAATAAGTCTCATTCCTTAATTTCAATAAATACGGCTTCCAGGAATTTTTAAATTAGCATCTTTTTTGACACTTTTAGGTTATACGAAAATGTAAGTTTTGTTTCAACATTTTTTTTCTCAATATTTTTCCAATCCAACCCAACAATTATTATACATCATTTTAAAGAGAAAGCTTTGAGCTTTAATTTAGAATAAGTCTCATTCCTTAATTTCAATAAATACGGCTTCCAGGAATTTTTAAATTAGCATCTTTTTTGACACTTTTAGGTTATACGAAAATGTAAGTTTTGTTTCAACATTTTTTTTCTCAATATTTTTCCAATCCAACCCAACAATTATTATACATCATTTTAAAGAGAAAGCTTTGAGCTTTAATTTAGAATAAGTCTCATTCCTTAATTTCAATAAATACGGCTTCCAGGAATTTTTAAATTAGCATCTTTTTTGACACTTTTAGGTTATACGAAAATGTAAGTTTTATTTCAACATTTTTTTTCTCAATATTTTTCCAAACCAACCCAACAATTATTATACATCGTTTTAAAGAGAAAGCTTTAAGCTTTAATTTAGAACAAGTCTCATTCCTTAATTTCAATAAATACGGCCTCCAGGAATTTTTAAATTAACATCTTTTTTGACACTTAGGTTATACGAAAATGTAAGTTTTAATTCAACATTTTTTTTTTCAATATTTTTCCAATCCAACCCAACAATTATTATACATCGTTTTAAAGAGAAAGCTTTGAGCTTTAATTTAAAACTAGTCTCATTCCTTAATTTCAATAAATACGGCCTCCAGGAATTTTTAAATTAACATCTTTTTTGACACTTAGGTTATACGAAAATGTAAGTTTTATTTCAACATTTTTTTTCTCAATATTTCTCTAATCCAACCCAACAATTATTATACATCGTTTTAAAGAGAAAGCTTTGAGCTTTAATTTAGAACAAGTCTCATTCCTTAATTTCAATAAATACGGCTTCTAGGAATATTTAAATTAGAATCTTTTTTTGACACTTTTAGGTTATACGAAAATGTAAGTTTTATTTCAACTTTTTTTTTCTCAATATTTTTCGAAACCAACCCAATAATTATTATACATCGTTTTAAAGAGAAAGCTTTGAGCTTTAGTTTAGAACAAGTCTCATTCCTTAATTTCAATAAATACGGCTTCCAGGAATTTTTAAATTAGCATCTTTTTTGACACTTAGGTTATACGAAAATGTAAGTTTTCTTTCAACACTTTTTTTCTCAATATTTTTCCAAACCAACCTAACAATTATTATACATCGTTTTAAAGAGAAAGCTTTAAGCTTTAATTTAGAATAAGTCTCATTTCTTAACTTCAATAAATACGGTCTCCAGGAATTTTTAAATTAACATCTTTTTTGACACTTTTAGGTTATCCGAAAATGTAAGTTTT